TTATTAGAGACAGGGTTTCACCATGTTGCCAGGCTGGTCTTGAACACCTGACCTCAAGTGATCCAGTTCGGCTTCCCAAAGTGCTGGGATTACAGGCATGAGCCACCACACTTGGCCCACAAGTTTCATTTTGAAGTAGTCTAGGGGCCTTGGTCCTGAAAGCGGTCAGGACTATAAATCAAATAGTGATGGTTTTAAATGGGAGGGAATGAAGTCTGCAAAATTTCCCCAGATTATTTTGAAGATCTCTTCTCCCCACCCCTCCTAACCTACTTTCTATAGCCTGGTCTAGGAGCAGGAAATCTGGAAGAAGATTCTTGGGGGAGGGCTCCAGAACTCAGCTTCCCGGTTAATGGCTGATGGAATTTACACAAGATCTGGGCAAAGGTGAAAGGGCGGTGCCCAGCCCCAAATTCCTTATATCTTTGCTCCGCTTCATTGACACCCCCACCTTCTCCCCACCCCAGACTTCACCCAAACTCTGACCTCTTACTCTGTCTACTTAACTCTGGCCCCGGGCAGCCAAGACAAAGCAAAAGGCAGGGCAGCATGAGCCGATCACCTCTCAATCCCAACCAACTCCGATCAGTGGGCTCACAGGATGCCCTGGCTTCCCTGCCTCCACCTACTCCCCAGAATCCCTCCACCCACTCTTGGGATCCTCTGTGTGGATCTCTGCCCTGGGGCCTCAGCTGCCTTCTGGCTCTGCAGGTAGGAGGCAGAGGTGCTGGCTGATGGCGTGTGTGGGGAAGCAGGTGTATGTGTGGCACACGAAAGCCTGTGGAAGTATCGTAGGTATTTCCACCTCTCTGAAGACTGCCCTCCCCATTCCTCCACCTACAGCATGTCTTGGTCGTGGCTTCTCTGCTCTGTGTCTCCCACCTGCTCCTGCTTTACAGTCTCCCCCCAGGAAGACTCTCGTACTCCCCTTCCCAGCTCCTGGCCTCCAGCTTCTTTTCATGTGGTGTGTCTACCATCCTGCAAACTTGGGTGGGCAGCAGGTGAGACGAACCTCCCGGGAGAGAGGGGCAGGGTTCCGGAGGGTAGGAGAGGTCTGGGGGAGCTTTGTTGGCTGCCACATATTTACAGACCTGCTGGGGCTGCTGTTCCTACAGGCTGCCTCTTGTCCAGGCTCCATCCTTAGAGTTCCTTATCCCTGCTTTGTTGCTGACCAGCCAGAAGCTACCTCTGGCCATCCAGACACCTGGAAACTGTGAGCACAGAGCAAGGGCAAGGGGTAAGGGTGGGGTTGGGTTCTCATCCAAGCGTGCAGGTGTAGGTGGGTGCAGGATTGAGATTGGGCAGTGGCAAGACTGAGACAATGTAGGGGGCTTGGACCTGTGCCAGGTGTGGGACTGTAGAGCTATGGGTCTCCATCCCATTCACCTTTCTCTTTTCCATGCCCCAAACTTTTCCTAGCCTCCCGCATGCATCTGTGTAGGAGACCTAGCTGCCTTGACTTGGGGCACTGGAACACTTCTATCCAGGAGGTGGGTGTCTAGAGGTGAGGAGGGATAAGGATGGTGCCAGGCTTTTGGAGGTGGGAGGGAGGGCTCTTGTTTCCATTGTGCAGAGACTGAGATGCTCCTGGAAAGGAGCTGGGGGAGGAACCCATACCTAGAATTAGGAAGACCAGGCTGAGGCCAGTTTGACTGAGCAGAATGTTTTCTCTCCATCCTCTCCTCTCTTCTACCAGGTATCCGGAGCAGTGGTGGTATCTGGGCTGTTGCAGGGCACGCTGGGGCTGCTGGGGAGTCCTGGCCGCGTGTTCCTCCACTGTGGGCCCCTGGTACTGGCCCCCAGCTTGGTTGTGGCAGGGCTCTCTGCCCACAGGGAGGTGGCCCAGTTCTGCTCCGCTCACTGGGGATTGGCCTTGCTGTACGTTGAGTCCTGAGAGGCATGGGATGGTGCCTAGTGGGGTGTATGGGGGGACAGGGGGAGGGTAGAGCTGCTGGTCCTATCAGATTCAGCAGCATCTGGAATAGGGACATGTTTTATATTTGGAATCCAAGACATTTCCTTGATACATCTGTTCTGACTTTCACACTGTCTTCTGCTGTCCCTCAAGGTGCCTTCCTATTCCTTCCATGGGAGTTTCCTTCTCTGGGACAGCCCCTTTTATGGTATTCTGCCCACTCCCACCTCCTTTCCCATCCCTCAGGATGCTTGCTGCTCTTGCTCCTAAAGCCTTCTCTCTCCTAGGGTCATCCTGCTCATGGTGGTCTGTTCTCAGCACCTGGGCTCCTGCCAGTTTCATGTGTGCCCCTGGAGGCGAGCTTCAACCTCATCAACTCACACTCCTCTCCCTGCCTTCCGGCTCCTCTCGGTATGTGTGGGTCTGGGCAGGGCGTAGAGGTCAGAAGGGCTGCCCTGGAGTGCTCACTCTGGCCCCTACCTTTCAGCTTCTTTCTACCCCTCCAAGGCTGGTCGGAAGGTTCTGGGGAGGAGTTCTTTTCTGTCTCAGTCTCACCCCTCAGGTGCTGATCCCAGTGGCCTGTGTGTGGATCATCTCTGCCTTTGTGGGGTTCAGCGTTATCCCCCAGGAACTGTCTGACCCCACCAAGGCACCGTGGATTTGGCTGCCTCACCCAGGTGGGTTTTCTCCTTGTCCTCCATTCTCTTGCTCAAATAAAGATATCTATTAATTTGAACTCAAACTACTTAATGGATTTTATTTCTGAGTTAAATCCTGTGTTTTCTCAAAACATACAGGAGAGAATAATTGCCAGTCTAGGGGACAGACAATGCTAGTCCCTCACTGCAGGCGTTTTTTGTTGTTGTTGTTGTTGTTTGTTTGTTCGTTTTTTGAGACAGGGTTTCACTATGTCACACGGGCTGGAGTATAGTGGCATGATCATATGCCTCAACCTCCCAGGCTCAAGTGATCCTCCTATCTAAGCCTCCCGAGTGACTGGGACTACAAGTGCATGTCACCATGCGGGCTATTTTTTTTTTTTGTAGAGATGGGGTTTCACCGTGTTGCCCAGGCTGGTCTCAAACTCCTGGGCTCAAGTGATCTGCTTGATTAAGTGCTGGGATTACAGGCGTGAGCCACTGCGGCCCATCCCACTGCAGGTGTTTTATTTGGGTCAGTGTTAGGAGACAATCTATTGTTTCTGTAGCCCCCAATACTCACTCCTTACTCACCAATACTCCTTACCCAATGAACACATTTATATTACCAGCCCCCATGGGCATTTGACTTGGCAACATATGTATAAAGATTGCTTTTGAGGCATTGTATGTGAAATTTGCCCATTCTTCAATTTATTTATTTATTTAATTTATTTTTTGAGGCAGGGTCTTGCTGTGTCACCCAAACTGAGATGCAAACTTGACTCACTGCAGCCTCAACCTCCGGGGTCCAAGCTATCCTTGTGCCTCCGCCCCACAAGTAGCTGGGACTCCAGGTGTGCACCACCATGCCTGGCTAATTTTTGTGGGTTTATTTGGTAGAGACGGGATTTCACCATGTTGTCCAGGCTGGTTGCTCATTAATTTAATAAGGATCTGCTGAGTGCTGATTATGTACTAGGCATATATTAGGGGACACAGTGATGAACATGACAGACACAGCCCTTTCCTTCACGGAGCTTACAGTCCATTGGGGAATACAGATGCTAATTAAAGAGTCATCCAAGGAAATATAAAATTGCCATTGTGGGAAGTGTAACCAAAGGGAGATACAGTGTGTCCTAAGAGCTAATAATGGAGGCCAGGCACAGTGGCTCACACCTACAATCCCGGCACTTTGGGAGGCAGAAGCAGGAAGATTGCTTGAGGCAAGGATTTTGAGAGCAGCCTGGGTAATAAAGGAAGACTCCATCTCAACAAAACATAAAAAGATTAGCTGAGTCCAGTGGCACATGCTTGTAGGCCTAGCTACTCAGGAGACGGAGGCAGGAGGATCCCTCGAGCCCAGGAGTTGGAGGCTGCAGTGTGCTATGATCGTACCGCTGCATTCCAGTACAGGTGACAGAGTGAGACCCTGTTTACAAAAATAAAATAAAACGCCAGGTGCCATGGCTAACACCTGAAATTCCAGCACTTTGGGAGGCTGAGGTGGGAGGATTGCTTGAGCCTAGGAGATTGAAGCTGCAGTGAGCTATGATTGCACCACTGCACTTCAGCCTGGGCAACAGAGCAAGGACCTGTCTCAAAACAAACAAGCAAACAAAAAAGCCTATAATAGGGAATTTGAATAAATCAGGGAGGTCAATAAAGATATTCTGTTTTTTTTTTTTTTTTTTGAGATGGAGTTTCACTCTTGTCACCCAGGCTGGAGTGCAATGGTGTGATCTTATCTAACTGCACCTCCACCTTCTGTGTTCAAGTGATTCTCCTGTCTCAACTCCTGCCTCCCAAGTAGCTGGGATTACAGGCATGCGCCACCACACCTAGCTAATTTTGTATTTTAGAAGAGATGGGTTTTCACCATGTTGGTCAGGCTGGTCACAAACTCCTGACCTCAAGTGATCCACCTCCTCAGCCTCCCAAAGTGCTGGGATTACAGGTGTGAGCCACCGTGCCTGGTCTAAGGAAAGATATTCTTGAGGATGTGATAATTGAGTTGAGATGGAAGAGATGAGTAGGGGCTAACTAGACAAAGGCAGGAGGGAAGAGCATTCTAGTTGCAGGAAACAGCATATGCAAAGGCCCTGTCGTGGCTGGGAGCACAGCAAGTATAAAGGCCTACAACGAGGCCATGTGGCAGGAGTAAAGGAAGTGAGGTGGTATGTGCTGGGAGATGAGGCTGCAGAGAGAGGGAAGGGCCAGACCGAAGAGGACCTTGTAGACCATGGGCAAGGGATGGGTCTTTCTCCTTCGAGTTCTGTAGTTTTGTCCCAAGACATTATCTTCAAAGACACTGAGGCATTTAGGATTCTTGGGGCACAGGCTGTTGGAGGCGGGGGGATACTCCTGACTTGAATCTGGCCCCAAAGTGGCTCCTTCTCCTTCCCCAGGTGAGTGGGATTGGCCTTTGCTGACACCCAGAGCTCTGGCTGCAGGCATCTCCATGGCCTTGGCAGCCTCCACCAGCTCCCTGGGCTGCTATGCCCTGTGTGGCCGGCTGCTGCATTTGCCTCCCCCACCTCCACATGCCTGCAGTCGAGGGCTGAGCCTGGAGGGGCTGGGCAGTGTGCTGGCCGGACTGCTGGGAAGCCCCATGGGCACCGCATCCAGCTTCCCCAACGTGGGCAAAGTGGGTCTTATCCAGGTATGTGGACTTGGGATGGGGTGGGGTGCAGCCAGCAGTGAAGGAGAGGGAAGGGAATTTACATTGATTGATTGCCAGCTGCACCCAGCACCTCACATCAACTATCTCACTTGGGGAGGTGCCTAAGATTAGACTTTGGGCTAAGAGACTGGGTAAGTGAACAAGTTACCACTGAACTCCTGTGCATGAGGCACTGTGCCAAGGCTGGGTGACCTAAAGTTCTGCTCTCTTGGGGACTTTGTGGAGGGAGAGGCAGACAGTTGAAGGAAAATAGTATCTTTTTTAAAAAGTGGGCCAGTCATGGTGGCTCACGCCTATAATCCTAGCACTTGGGGAGGCTGAAGCAGGTGGATCACTTGAGGCCAGGAATTCAAGACCAGCCTGGCTAACATGGTGAAACCCTGACTCTGCTAAAAATATAAAAATTAGCTGGGCATGGTGCCCTGCACATGTAATCCCAGCTACCTGGGAGGCAGGAGAATCACTTGAGCCTGAGAGACATAGGTTGCTGTGAGCTGAGACT